CACTTTCGTCGCTTGATTATTCCTTGCCATGTACTATTGATTTTTATAATGCATCCCCGACTGTATGAAATACAATTTCCTCTTTTCATTTTTCCATGAAAAAGCAACAAAATTTTCATGCTCAAAATGAAAATTTCATCATGATCTAATGAAAATAAAACTGACTTGTTGTACAACGAATGCAACGAATTCCCCAATGCAATTTCCCTTTTTCATTTTCTCATAAAAAAACAACGAAATTTTCATGCTCAAATAAAACTGCATTGTGCAACAAATTCACGAATGCAATTTCCGATGTTCATTTTCGCATGAAAAAACAACGAAATTTTCCTGCTCAGAATGAAAATTTACCCCTAATCTAGTGAAACTAAAACTGACTTATTGCTCAACGAATTCACAACTGAACCCATATCACCCCATTCCTCCACCCAATTCTGTGTCACAGAGAGATCCACCCCCAAATTCACCCAAGTGTATACGCTCGTGTGGTCCTCAAATGCCGGTACACATACCACTCCTAGGACATGACGTAGAAACTCATTCAAGTTTAACTTCATCTACTTGAGGTCGATGGAAATCACACGCCAAACATTTTCGAGAGCTGACACGAGCATACTTGCACAGTATCTGCACCCCCTGCCCCCTTCCCCTTCAAACTTAAAACCCAGTTACCACCCTCCGCCACCTATTTGGCTCATTTTCTCTCCCTTTATACGAAACTCCGTTTCAACTAAAACCGCAATTCTCCGGCCGATGTACCAGGAAAACTTGAAACACCCGTTGAGTGACAACCATCCCCGCCGATTCATCCGATGAATTGATTTTATTCGCAATTATTGCACGATTTTTTCATATTTTTCTTTTCTCTTTCCCATTAAATTCATCTCAATTTCAATAAGGTGTTAGCACCAATCTATTATATCACAATGTTTCACTCCACACCACGCGTTTTGTAAATATATAAATACCTATTATCGTTAAAGTATTAAGTTTTGAAAGTATTTCATAGTAATAGTTAGCAGTAGCGGAAATAGTATTATTAGGTAATAGTTATCAGCAGCAGATTATGAGATTAGTTTAATAAGTAGTAAATTCATGGTATCAGCATCTCGTCTTGGGTCAGTTTTTAATTGAATTGGTAAAATGGGTAGATTCAACAGCCTGGCAGCCTGCCCGTCGGTCTATCCGTCCAGTTTTGTGTTTTGAGGGTTTAGTTCGTCCGCAATACCCCTCTCCCGCATGCAGGAGAAGGGCGCATGTATTGCAGGTTGTTTTCTTATGATTTTTGCGCTGAAGAAACCGAATCTGTCACTTTTTTTTTCTGAGACCGTGCGCATCCAAAAGTCACTAACAATTGCATTGTTTAAACCGAGTTTGCTGGAAAACTATTGAATACAGAAAAAAATAGTTCGAACAAAAGTTGTTGTTTTTTTAAAACTGAACACATCTGCTTTTATCGATTTTTTCCGTATCTGCAGCATTTTTCGAGATATCCGGGTTTTAAATGCCCCGTGAATATGCGTAGTTTTGTAAACCTCGCGCTGTCAATTCTTTTGATCCTCAATATCTCCCTAAATAATTGAAATAGCGAAAAAATACATAAGAGCTAATATGCTTAGGTTTGCGAAAGCAACATTTTGCTCAAACTTTTTTTTTTCATCTTCAATAGTTTTCGAGCAATTTCGGTTTAAACTAATGAATTGTTTAATTTGTTGATAACTTTCGCCAGATAACACTGACAAATTCCGTTTTTAGAGCTGAAAAAACGTAAGAAAACGGTCTGAAATTTTTCCACCCTTTTAGCGCGCACGAGAGGGGGGCATTGCGAATGGACTAGTTTGTGTCGCGAAAATGATGCTTCCGTGGCCGGGGAAACCCCGTTGTCTTTTGGGTTTTTTGTGTTGGTGCAGGCCGTATTTCATTTTTCATTACTACTTTGGGTGATATATGCGTGCCGAGTATTTCTCTCTTTCTTTCGGGTGCTCTCGCTCCGGGAATAAATCGTATTTTCGACTAGCCCTTTTATTCGGGGGGTTTTGCTACTTCCGACACGGGTCGAGTTTTTGGAATAAAAATTGGAGGGATTTTGAAAGCGCGGATGATTGATGAACTTATTTTGGAGGCAATTGTTGGGTTATCAAGAGTTATTGAGTCGATCGGGGAGCGGGGAATGTTGAATAGATCAAAATGGGAGTCTAGTCAGAAGTTTGTATGTTTTGTTGGGATTTTTAGCGATAGCCAAATTTTTATGACATTTTTCGAACATTTTTCCTGAAATTTCAAGGGAAAAATCTTGGAATTTTTAACAACGTCTGATGCACATGAAATTTCTGAAAGTGTTGTGACTGATAGATCAGTTAATTCCTAGAATCTTCAGTGAAATTACAATTTACAGGATACGACAATGAAAATTATTGAAAATTGTGAAAATTCTAGCAACTATTCTGGATTCTCAATCTATTGAAATTTCGATTGAATGTGACGTTCACATGAGTCAACTTTGGATTTAGTTTCTGATGGATATTTTTTACCCAGGCCCGGTTGCACCAAGCCCAATAAATTTATTCCACAGTTGAACAATTTTAGGAATTCATCGGACAGTGCTTTAATTTATAGCTATTGGGTCGGGGAAATCGACTAAATACTTCGTAATTCATGACGTTATTGGCAAGTCGTGATAATACACCGATACACCACGTTTTTGGTGAAATACCTTCGATGAACTTTTGATGAAAATTGATCGGCAGTTTATTTTTATTTGTTCCGATGCTTAACTGATGATTTCCTTAACTGAGCTTGGTGTAACTGGGCCTATGACAATTTTTTGTACACAGTTAGAACATTATTCCTAAAATCTCAAATGAAAAATCTGGGAATTTTCAAATGTATTCCTGGAATATTTAGCGAAATCGCAGTTTTCCGATTGTTATGACATTGAGAATAAGCGAAAATTGTGAAAATTCAGGCAAATACTGTTCTAAATCCTAATGATTTTCAATTTATTGAAAATTCAATTGGATTCGATGTTCTCAATAAGTTCAAAAATTGCCATGACTCATTTCTGTTGAATTTCCAAGATAAATAAGAATGTCGATGAACAATATGATCCCAAATTGAGTTCAAATTCACAACATTGCGAATTAAAATCCAACTGTTACTTAAATAAAAAAAAAACATTGAATATGAATATGACTCATTAATTCAAGTATTTTCATAAATAATGAAGAATTAATAAGTTGCAAATTTTATCCAATAATTCCCTGAATTATATTTCGAATTCAAAAAAGCATCCAACATTTTTCTCCCCACAAATTCAATATTAATTACTTTACCTACTCGACGCAATGTGCAAATCCAATAAAAGCAACGATTCTTCCCGGCAATTTGGAATAATAAATGCCCCCGTGTAGATACAAACAATCTCCAATTCCCCCCTGGAGCATGAATCAGGGTAAACAGGTCAATTTCTGGACGGGGCTTAGTTTTTGGACGATTCTATCTGGACGGTCTACTCCATTGACTATTCCATAAATAATAAAATGAAAATGTACTGATTATTTCACCTTTCCATAATATTACTCGTGTATAATCGTGTGATCAATTATTTTTTCTATCGACTGATATATAATAAATAAAAAAAATATGGCCCAGTCGTCCAGAAGTTAGAGGTTTCCGCTGCATTCAACTATTCCTTAACTTTATTATTCTTTGTTTTGTTATTTTGACTTCAAATCATTTTTTCTGCTAACTAAAATATTCTTGAAGGTATGGAAGCCATCATATCCCCATTTAGATGATTCGTTTATTTTAGATCCTTCGACAAAACTCGAATTTCCGTTAACCGTCCGGCAATTGGCCTGTTCACCCTACACTGTTAGCAAAAGATGAAATTTCATGGACACTTGACTACTAATTTTGAGGACAGTGACACTGAATGCGATTTAGGGGGAAAAATCATGAAATTTCAGGTTTCACTGAAAATTCTACAATTTTAAGCAGCATAAAGATGAGAATTCCGTAATTCATTTGAATTTCCAATCTAATATGAATATTCAGTGCCAAATTACATTGATTTTTCAGTGAAATCTGAAATTTCACGTTTTTTCCCCCTAAATCGCATTCAATGTCACTGTCCTGAAAATCCAAGGATATATTTACCGGAATTTTCTGGTTTTCTATTCATTTTCAGGGACAAATGGAACAGAAATTTACCGTTCTCTTCGATTTTTCAACGAAATTCTGAATTTTTAATGACGAAATTCCTTGAAATTTCGGCGATAATTAAATTCGATAGTAATTTCCTAAAAGTGTACCGGAAATTTAAGACAAAAATGTTTACCAGTGTACCAAAGACTAAAAATTTATCAATCCAAAACATTTCCCTCTCCCAGATACTCAGACGGTCCATGTAATTGTAATTAGAATATCACGAGAGTATACAGGAAAGTTGATTATCCCCCAGGATCAAAGGGCACCGGCCATTCTCGGCTTGTATCTCTTTCCCCCATGCCTTCCATCTGTCCGCATGTGTGAGTCCTACCATTTTGGTCTTTGTGATATAGAGTGCTGTGGTCGTATCGGTGGTTTCAAACGACGAATGTGATTTGTGAAAACGGGCAATTCCAGTGGCATTTTAAACTGTCGAGGGAGAGAGAGAGAGGGGGGGGGGGCAATATAAACGCAAATAATTGGCTATCGCTTTTCACTGCTCAGTATTCGGAGACTTGACTTCTATTCAGACAATAATTCGATTGCAGTGTAGAGAGATTTGCAAAAGGGATTGACACTCCGGTTGGGAAGAACCAAATCGAGAATATTAAACACTGAACATTGAAAAAAAATACAGAAGTGATGGAATTCACAAGCAACAGGGGGAAGACCCCCTCCTTCATGCTTTGGAACCAACGGAGAGGGGCCCGGGGGGGGGTTGAGGTCTACTGATGCTGTTAAATGAAAAAAAAAAAAAATACTCCTGCATTTGCAAATAAATAATAAAGCTGTTCTGTCTCTCCACAATCTTGTAATGTCTCACACGTCACTTTGAAACAGTAACCAACATAAATTGTATACATAATATAAAATCATAAAACGGAAAAACAAACAAAATATAATAAATTATCCAATATATTATTCATCATTATCTGTGTAATATATTAATATTCTGGGTTATATATTAAATTAAAGGTATTGTGTTTATTATTTTTGTGTTTTTGTTTTTTCATCATTTTTTTTTCCTCTTTAAGCCTTAAACCATGCAAAGTGCCCCCATGAATTCATATACAGTAAGTATGTAGTTTTTTTTTCCTGTATTTTAACATGTATTTTTAAAAACCATCCCAATAACAAAAAAAGAAAAGAGAGAGATAGATCGACGGTAATATCATAATGATCACAATGATTCAGCGGTTTGGCTCATAAGAATAGTTTTTACTAGTGGACTCAATCATTCTTAATTATTATTTATATACCAGCCTGCTCACTTGTGTTTTTCCCTCATAACTTCTATTTATTTCACCTGTTTTTGTTTTATCACGTATCCATCCATCAGTTTCCATGTTTTTAAGAGAACTGTTAAATTAATAAACGTTTCTGTAATATATTAATATATTTCTGTAGGTCGTTATTGGCTCTGAGCCATCCGGATATAGTTAAACACAAAATAAAATAATAATAGTAGCTTCAAACAAGAAAAATAATGAATTCTCATTAAGGAAAAAAAAACTGAAAACGGTATTGCACCCTAACCAATTAAATAAAGAAATAATCAAATGTGCAACGAGGCATTGGTACCATCATCCCTTTGATGCAAAAGTGAATTTGCTTTAACGAATAAACTATATATCTGTAACCAATGGTAGAATAATAACGGATAGATTATCATAAAGTATAAAATATAATCATAAATCCAATAAAATTAAAAAAAAAGAATCTTATTTTGCTTGCCTATGCATTTTAAGTCCCAAATTCGTGGAATGTCTTCAGCTATTTCCACTGGTTATTCATTTGCTGCTTTGTCACATTTGCCTGCAGTTGTCCTATCAATGTTTATCATAGAATTTCATTCCAGATGTTAACACACAGTGCATTATAGTCAAACATTCATATTAGAACTGCAAAACTCTTGTCTTATTTTTTCTCATTAAGTAATGAATGAATCATCTATTATTACAGTCTATCGCCACTGATTTATTCTCTCGAATAATAGGATGCATAGGACAGAAATTATACTTCTTCGTTGTAATCCGATAGTGCGAGTGTGTTCAATTGTTTAAATCGAAAAATGTTTTTTTATCGTCGTGTGTGTGTCCAGCCTGTCACGTCAATTTGTTTTTCGTATGTAACGTCACATTATCGTCGGTTAAGATACATGCGAGTGTGCGTGCAACAACTCTTGAGCTGAAAAATTTATTTCTTCCCTCTAGTAGTTAGGAGTGGTATTAAATTACTATTTAATCCCCCTCCCCCCTTCGCTATTTTATAGCCCCTCCCCCCCTCCCCCCATCGTCATCACTCTGATAAAACGATTAGTTACAATTTACAATCTAATATGAAGTCCAACTATAAAACTTTCAACAACTATTACGACTCACCCTGCGCAATCGACTTCGGCATTAATTCACTTTTATCTCATTTAGCATTAATTAATTATTGTTAATGATTTAATTAGGGTATTTATCATAGTATTTTAATCGGCTGCCAGCCTCTGCCGAATACGCCATATTCCGGCAGACATCTACGGGAGGAATTGGCACCACATTTGCTCCCATTTGTGTTTCGCATGAGTTTTATCATTTTTTTTTTCAATTATTTTCTCTTTTTATTTAAAACTTGAATAAGAATCCTATCGTCGTGTTAACTGTGGCATTCTCGTATGACTCCAAAATTGCACGCGATGCCCTCATTATCCAACGACTCATTCTTAATATATAATATAATTCTTTCTGTTATCCCTTCGTTTCTATATTTTTTTTAATAGTGAAAAATAAAGCTGCACCCATCAAAATCCGAAAATAGGACACTTCGAGATGTTTTTTTGTTGGTTTTTTTTTCTTTTTAATGTATCTATCAATATTCATTTATAATCTGTTGACTGTAGGTGTTGCTGTTCGATGTGTTCGCGTTGATTCTGTCGCTCACCATAAATTGTTTAACAATATAATTATCAATGTTGTATAGTTGTGTTGGTTTGTTAGAAGATTTTTCACTCGCACCCTCACCGTCAAATCCTTCTTACATAAAAAAAAACTTGAAAGTAATCATCAGTTAATCAGTAATTCATAGGTATAATTATAAATTTTTCTTTTCTCTCGTCCTTAAAAATCACTATTATCTTGATCAATAATGTCTTCATTTTTCTCGTATTTCTTCTTAAAATGGTTAAGCGTAGAACCTACAAGATTTGGTGTTCGGAGAAAAAGTGATTGAACATTAAAAAACGTGGTGTACTCTCAGGCATGAGTAAGAACTTACGATGATAATGTTCTATCTCACGTATGAGTGACGGCACGTTTGTTCGCGACGTATGTTGTAATCGTTGAACGTAGTAGTTGTCGTCGCATTGTCGTACGCGCGCACCGCGCACGCACGATAATTCGCCTTATGATAGGGTATTCATTGTATCATTATTTGTAGCGGATAATGCCAATGAGCTTGCAACAAAATCATTTAAATCAATTTTCCTTGACTCGGGATGTTTGAATTTAAAGTGCGTGCGCAGATTGTCACTACGAGTGTACGTGGCACGACAGAGAGGACACTCAAACCTGCCGGGGAAGTGGACGTGGTAGTGGTTCCTGATGTGCGTCACGACCTTGCCGCACAGCTTGCACCTGTGAAGGTTGCAGCCGCCTGGCACCCGGTCAAAGGTCAGCCGCATGTGCCAGGCTTTTGAACCTGCAACATCAACACAAGACAAGTCACTAATCTGCTGATGCCCGAGAGCCCTAGTTAAGGGAGGCCCGGGGGCGGTTGCAACTCCGCGGGCCCCGGATAAGCTAATTTTTTTTTTTTTTTTAATTTATCGGTTACATTTTTGACAATTCTCTCCAATGATCGGTTTTCGCCTCGTCCTCGGGTCTCCCACTCCACTACCGGCCTGGGTTATTCAGTAGAACCCCGCGTTAGAGACGGTACTAAGTGGTTTCTTTAGGATCTCCAAGTTTTTGGGGCGGACCGCGGTTCTCGGAGATTTTCAATCGTCAAGTTTCGCCCGTGCATTGACGGAGGACTTTGGAACATTCAGATATTCGAGCGAAAAATAATACCTTATTTTTTAATTTCAAAGGTTTATGCTTTATACACTGTTAGAAATTTTTTGGAAATTTAGTAGTAGTCGCAATTGAATTTTAAATGTTGGAAATGTGAATTTAATGTAAGAAGATTCAACAAATCGGTCATGGAATTTCGCATTTAGGTTGGAAATTTAGGATAATTGGGTTTTCCGTGTTAGATTACCACTGATATTTTAATGACATCTGGAATTTTCAAATTCATTGCGGAAATTGGAAACGTCCAACTGAATCTTCAGTGGACTGAAAATTTGGGGAAATTGTTGCTTGAATTTTCAAATTATCTAATAATTTTCAATATTTTGTGGACCTGAAAATTGCAATTCCATTGGATACTACAGACTTCAACTGATTTTTCAGTAACAAAATACAGGAAAATTTCGAGTCAATGATTGTTAAAAATTTCAAGATTTTTTGCTTGAAATTTCGGGAGGAATTTTCTAACAGTGTATAAGATGTACGAAAGTCTTTTTGTCATTGTATGACGAACGAAAAATAAGGTCTTTATATGAGATTTGAGAAAGTCTTTTCGTCGTTTGTATGATGAACAAAAAATATCTGTATGTAAAATACCAAATAACCCTCGCCTTCGGCTCGGGCTGCAACCTCATATTTGCCAGAAAAGTTGAAGCCTGAAAGTTTCAAGTTGAGAATTTTAAAGGTCTTAATTTGAGAATTTTACATATTCAAGTTGAAAGTTTTGAATTCGTCAAGTTAAGACCTTCGAAATTCAACTCAAAATTTTTCTATACGTTGAGGTCTGAAAGTCTCAATTTGAGATCATACGTCTCAAAATAGTGCTTGTTTTTTTGGTTGTTGAACATCATTCAAATTAGATTTTGTATTTTTTCCCCTTTTGAATACCTTATTATGAATAAATAATTGAAATTGTTTAGACTTTTGTGGGAAATTCTGAATATGAACAAAATTTTTGCGCTTGAGTTGAGAATTTGAGAATTTTACAGATTCAAGTTGATACTTTTGGATTCCTCAAGTTAAACTTCCGAAATTCAACGTAAAATTTTTCTATAAATTGAATTCAATAGCGAAGTGGTAAAACGGTACATGTCAATTTTGACTACTGACCAGTTTTCAATGAATATCTCGGAATCTAAGGGAGATAGCAAAATATTTATCAAAAACTTTTTTGTAGAGCCGATTGAGTGCTACAACAAATGCAATTACGAAAATTTCGCTATCTCCCTTAGATTCGGAAGTATTCCTCAAAAACTCAACTGGAAGATAAGTCGACTTAAGCCGTTTTACCACTTCCTACTAAATTCTGAAAGTCTCAGGTTGAGATCATAAATCTCAAAATAATACTTCGTTTATCCAAATAAAATTGTGTATTTTTTTAATTTCTTCAGCATTCCATCTTGCAGATAAATAATTGAAATTGTTTAGACTTTCAGGGAAATCCTGAACGTAGAAAAAATTTTGCGGTTTCGGAATAATAATGGTTTGGGTGGCAAATTTGTTCTTTATATATGATTTATGAAAGTAAGTCGTTATCTTCGAAAACTCCGTTCTCAATTATTTTATGAATCCGTTTTAAAAAACACATGTAGACGATATGATTTTATCCGTTATATTCTCTAGTTTTAGTTCGACCTTGAAAAACAAGTCTCCGCATAAAGAATTACAAACAATCCGATTGAAAATCTCTTAATGCGCACCGCGGTCATATTAAAAACATCCCATTTAAGGTTTTCTAAGGTTCAATGGAGAACAACTGAAATTTCAATCTACATCTACAACCGAAATATCCAAAATTATTGATATTGAACTCCGTTTTTCAATTTTTTTTATGTAAAAAATAAAACAATTATTAAATCGCCAAAAAAATTCCGATCCCCAGTCTAGTTGAGTTTTCAGAGAGTTCCTTGCACTGGAGAAAAATTACTCGTCGAAAATTCATAACCATTTGCTTAAATTCAATAAATCGTTGTTGAAATTTATTAACTGGATGTTGAAAAAAAAAAATTAACCGGTTCTTGAATTTCACCAAATGATTGTTAATTATCAACAAATATTCATCTCTTTGCAATTTTTAATGATCTTCAAATTTCCAAAACGACATTGACTTCAACTAAAATCAACAGTGAAGGAATAACAAGTCTCTTTTGATTATTACCCAGTTTTCAATGAATATCTCGGAATCTAAGAGCGATATCAAAATTGTTGTCATGACCTTTTTTGTAGCACTCAACTCGCTCTACAAAAAAGGTCATTACACAAATTTCGCTAACTCCCGTAAATTCCGAGATATTCCGGGAAAACTCAGTTGAGAGCGTCGACTTAAGACGTTTTTACCTCTCCGCTAGTGAAATATTTTTTCCAACATTAGATTGACCGCAAAACCCCCAAAAAAATTATTCAACAACGAGGAATCCGAACTCCCTAGACGTCCATATTCCCCGGAAAACGAAAAAATCCCTGAAAAAAAATATGTAACTTTAAACTGGTACTTGGAAATCCTTAAGGTTCCAGCTCTATCGCATTCCTTGCACCGGTGTAGTATGTCTGTGTGCGAATTTTGTACAGCAGCGAGTGTATGTGTCTGTGAGTGTATGTGCGAGAAAGCCAACAATTCTGGCTGCCCTTATTTGATATAATTTTTTCACTCCCAAACTTCGCCCATTTTTATTTGTACAGGATTTATTATTATTTTTTCCCCTTTCCATGGCTTGCGAAACCCAGGATATTCTGTACACTCGGCGATACCCGGCGTCGTGCCAAATTGTCAAGTTGCTCAGACCATTGCGCTTGCTTTACGACTTTCATCTGACGATTTTATTTCTGTTTAAGGTCGACGCTTGCTTTATTGATTCTGATAACGTGTTTTCATCCAATGTGATTGTGGAAAAAGGCTAGAATTTATCATTTTCAGGATATTCTCATCTGAAATGCCGAGTACTCAACAACATGGCAACCGACGTCGAACATTATTCTCTATATACAGACTAGAAATAACACCTGCCACTTCGAAACAATATTTAATTTCTTGTTAGGTTTAGGGACAGTCGTGCCTATCAGTTAGACATTGATCATTAAAAAACGTGAATTATCACTGTTTAGTTATTGGTGATGAGGTATAAGTTGCGTGTCAGTAATTATGTAACAGCTAGAGGTGGAAAACGCTCGTTCGGGATATGGGATATGAGAAACGAATGAAACATGAGAGAGAGCAGAGGTAAAAGAGCTGAAGAAATCCCGAATAATGCAATTGATTAATGAAAAAAACCCGTGAACACAGTTGACAGAGCCCCCAAATGTTCACATTTCATCATGTTCACCAGCGAATACCGCACATAATCGATGAAACAATAAAGACAACTGAGAATAACGAAACAAAATAAAAAGAATAAGCGACAAAAAACGTCTCCATTCACGTACACACATTCACACAGCCCAATGTACCCACTTTACACAAGCACATCTCTGATTGTAAATCGTTGTTTTATTTATCCACAAAAGAAAAAAAATATGATTCAAGTACAAAAATATTACATATTTACGCTTAAACCTAGTATTCACTTCTCCTTTATTATATCATTACTATTAATTCCTTTCAATTAATATCTAATTAGTTTATTAATAGTTTAACACACATTTTAACGCTCATCTTCACGAATAGTGAATGTTAGTCGAAATAAATTAGGCCCTCACTGAAGTAGCATTTAAGGTACTCAATTGGGTGATTTTCAAAATTGAAGGAATTCATTGGGATATATTATGGCACTGATGATCGACAGTGGATGGTTCTTGTACAAGACTGATCCCCCTTCTTCACTCGAGTTCCAAGGGTTCAATGTCTGGTTCTCTATATTAATCTTGATACCAACTCAAGCCTCGGGTATGTGGAATAGTTGATCATGAAGTGGATCTCGGGGCAATGGGGATGATCGATAATTAACACATCGGGGGAATGGGGTGGAAGGGCTCGGTGGATGTGTCATTGGAGGGTCTTGTCCACTAGTGCAGGTTTCACGCGCTATGAAATTACACTCTGGACGTGTTGTGCTTGACGAGGAGAAGTTGCCCCTGAGCGCACTGGCACATTATCACCCGAGGAGCGATGTCAACGGGTGGACCAGGGGCATTTACTGAGTGGAATGTTTTATCTGGCGATTTATTATGTGGTTGAGTGAAGAATTTTCATCGCTCGGGTGGAATTAACGAGCACGGGAAGGGGGAGGTATCGGTTTGAACGGGTTTTCCGGCCGTAAGGCAGCGTTTCACGGACGCTCCGCGTCCGTGAATCTCTGCAAAATGGTATATTTCGTCATTATGCCGAAAAAAACTTTTCTGGTGAATATGAGGTTCCCCGCCCCCCCTCCCCATCGGCTCGTGCTGCAATCATATTCGTCAGAAAATATTTTTTGTCATGACGGCCGTAGGCAGAGAACGCTGCCTTACGGCCGAAATGACAAAAAATATTGTTCATCATACGGCCAAAAAAAAATTTTCTGACGAATATCATTGCAGCCCTCGCCTTCGGCTCGTGCCGCAAACCTCATATTCGCCAGAAAAGTTATTTTCGGCCTAATGACGAAATATACTATTTCGACACTAGGCCGTGGGGAACTTTTCTGGCGAATATGA